TATGGTCCATTTAGAGTCAAACAGACCATAAAGCAGGGGATGCTTTTCCATCTTATCTGACGTGAACGTGGCATCACATGTGTCGCATGAAGGGTTAACGTTGGGAAAATCGACTGATTCCATTGAAAACAGTTTATTTTGCTGCAGAACTTCGCTCCCTTTTAAAATGTCTCTTTCTGTGTGAATCAGGAGTTTCTGAATCGTCTGTTTTTTTATTCACTCAAAGTGCCAAATGTGTGGACGATTCAGGAAATGAAGGGACAAAAAGAAATCTATATATTACTAATATTTTTATCACAACTTATTACTTTGCATTTAAAGCTGCACTTGTCAATAGTTTTGATCGGTGGATCTAATCGCACGTTGTAACGTGAGAGGTCCTGAACTCTGCAGCTCTAAGAAGCTTCTTTAGCTTCTCTCCGGGTTTTTGGTTTTATGGCTGAAAACAGGAGCCAGATATTGGTCGGTGGAGACCAAAGTGGAGCAAAAAGAGCGTGAATATTGGACTTATATTCATCGGGTTGGACACAAACGATCATGTTGCTGGATGTGTAAATAACATGTCGGTTCTTCTGCCCCCTGGTGGCCAAAAACATGCAGCTTTAAATGAAGTTAAGCATGGCTCAAGTTTTGGCAGTTTGTGACCGTTTTCTTTTATATAATAGAGATTTATGAGATGTTGTGACATATTACATTTTCTGCAAATGACGGAAAGTTTCTGTTGTGAAAACACATTTAATATGAATTTTCTTGAATCAAACCTTTAGATAAGCTCTTATTTGTGATGTCATGCAGCTACAGTACACACACACACACACACACACACATACATTTTTTTTTCTTCCATTGACTGCACTTGTTTTCAACGATGGAAATATGATACTCTGGTTGTATCTGTTTATTTGTTTATTCCACTATACTTTTTGTTTTATTGTCAAACTGTAAAGAAATCAACTTCAAATGCCGCCTAAACTATATTTAAATGTGTGACATAAAGAAGATTGTTGGCCTAATGAATAAATGATGTATGACTCAATGGAACATGTGCTTTTTCTCACAGTGTTAAATCACTAAATTGTCTAAATTCACAAACAGTGCTTTAGTGATTTGGATGATGAGTAGTCGCTCTTTTTGGCCTGTTGGTGGCGCTGCGTTTTAAGATCCAATGTTTTTACAGTGTTTTGCAAAGTGTTTTGTTTTCATGTGAAGTCAAAATGAATATTTATCATCCATTAAATCATTAGATATAAAGAGAAACTGTGTGTTTCTGTTTCTGTAGCTTGTTTCAGCGTGATGCTGGAAATCAGTTCACAGGAGACTGAAGAAGAAACAAACTGCAAATACACCGAAGGACCGAGTAATAAGGAATATTTTATTATTATTAATCCTGAACATTATGCTTGACTGGTATACAAAGAGGACGGCATGTGTGTGTTCAGCCTGGAGCATTACATTTACTCTGAAACATTAAGGGTTAAAGATGGAACATAAAAACATGAAATCAGAGGATATTTATTTGTTCATTAAACATTTAATTTTGTTATTGAAGCTGTTTTGTCTCACCTCGTGAGGAAGAGAGACTGGAAGAAGTTCAAATCGGAGCGTAAAAGAAATAAATACTGATTCAAAGTGACGTCACATTCATATTTACACCATCAAGCCGACGATTCCACACCTGTGGGAGGCAGCAAGGCGCTAAACCTCTGTCTAGTCTGCTGTAAATAAGAAGAAGAACTAAATGGAGCTACCCTCACCTCAGGGTACTTCTCAAGTCTCTTAATTGTTGTTTCCTCGCTCCTCGATCCTTGCTTGGAGGACCCACCAGAACAGACCAGGAAGTCTTTTAACGGCCGACACGCCCCCTCATTGTTCATCAGTCATGTGATTGGACGCTGCAGCCGATCGGACTGATGAGATTTTGTTCAACATGTAAACAGTGAAGACGGATCACAGATTAAACTCTAGCTTTATATTTGATTCGTTTTCTGATTCAACATCTGGTTTAAATAAATGTTCATTGTAGTCTGAACAACAAAAGGACCACAAACAACTTCGAGGACACGATAGTGAATTCATTTTTTTAATTATTATTTTTAATCACTTGTTTTATGTGTAAACAGATTTTCATTGTTCCTGTAAAATGAATAAATACATTTATCAAAAGATTAAAATGGTGACGATGAATAAAAGCATCTTTCCTGCACACTGTTCAGATGAAGATGATTTTCATTACAAAATGACGAAGACACAAAAAACCCGTCAATCTGAAGATGTAAACATGACGTCGTGTTTCATCTCAATGTTTAAACAACGGAGGGAACGGCTGCTGATCGACTGACATCAAACATGCACATCTTAAGAAAACAACGCAGAGCAGATCTGCAGGTCTTTAAGACTCCGCCCACTGACGTGGAGGACAGGAAGTCCTCAGTTAACACCTGCTGAGCGTTGGCTCACCTGCAGACAGCTGATGAGCTGAGCAAATGTTCTCAGCACACGAAACAACATGTTAGATGAAGAGCAAGAGAAACCAAAGTCTGTGTGAGTTAAATATCAAACTTTAAACTTTTACTGCTTTCATGAGGCAGCGGAGGTGAACCTGCAGAGTTATTGAAGGACAGAATGAAGTCACATGACAAACTGTATTAGCAAAGAGGAAGTGACGGAGAGACGTGGAGGATTATGAGACAGCCGTCCTCTGGACAGACTACAGCTCTCCTACACAGGACAAGACGCCTGCTTTGTGTCTCTTTGTAGTTGTTTAGTTATTTACTGTCCGTGGTTGTGTTGCCCTTCTCTTGTAGTATCGTGCGTCTCTCTGTAGTTGTCCTGTAGTACTGTTGTGTCTCAGTGGTTGTTTTGCCACTTTTCTTAGTTGTTGTGAGTCTTTCTGCAGCTGTTTCTGTCTCTTTGTACTCATTTAATCATTCTTTTTGGTGATTTTGAGTCTCTTCCTGGTAGGTGAGGGCCAGAGGGGCCCAAAAACCAAACCCCGCTGGTTTGTTTCCCCTCAAACAGATTTAGAAAGAAACGTCTCCTGCCACATGTGATGAACAAGTGTGTGTTGTGTTGTACACGTTCCCTTCAGGCTCCCGTTAAGTCCAGAAACACAGCCGACTACCGCTTCAGTATTTGCCCCGACCAGTATTATTATTAATTAATAAAGCTCTTAAAAACTCCACAACACTTTGGTTGATATTGTACTTTAGTGACACATTTACACGCAAATGTGGAAATGATCAAATCTTTAAAAAATGTAAAAACAGCTGACATGGCAGTCGATGACCCAGACGTGAGGTGACACACAGTGAAGTCGTGTTTCAGAGGAAGAGCTGAAAACTGCTCATATTCTGATGTAGTCTCATCGGTATCGACGGCAAACAAACGTGATCAGAGATCAATAAGTTAGATCGGCTCCCTCTCTCGTCTTTTGTGCTGATCTGTGACTCTGAACCGTGAGTTCTACGGTCCGTTGCATCGCTGCCACGTTCCCATAATCCCCGCCTCTCGTCACTGAAACGTCGGCGTGAACCGTTTCTCCCCGCCGTGCACGGTGACGTGGCGCCGCAGGTGGCTGCCGGAGATGAAGGTTTTGCCGCAGTAGGCGCACCTGAACTGTTTGCAGTCCGTGTGGACCGTCATGTGGACCTTCAGGGACCCCGACTGGGCGAAGCGCTTCCCGCAGTGGACGCAGCCGTAGCGCTTCTCGCCGGTGTGGACGCTCTGGTGGCGCTTCAGGTTGCTGGAGTCGGAGAAGCGTTTGCCGCAGAGCGAGCAGACGAACGGCTTCTCGCCCGTGTGGACCCTCATGTGGGTCTTCAGGTTCTTCAGGCAGGCCAGAGTCTTACCGCAGAAGGTGCAGCTGAACGTCTTCCCGCCGCCGTCGTCGTCCTGAGGTCTCCACCTGTCCCTTCTCATGAAAGCATGGAGTCTCTCCGGCATCTCCTTCCTCGCAGGAAGCCGAGGTTTCTCCGCAGGCGGTGGCGGCGCCGCCCTCTGCTGGCTGCCGTGTAGACCTGCAGGCTGCTGGTGCTCCGCCGCAGATAGACTCACCACCTCAGTGACGGTGAAAGTGAAGTCGCCGCCGCTGACCACGTCAGATGCAGCGGAGGCACTCGCACCGGTGTCCAACGCGTAGGAGCAGCCGGGATCCTCACTCAAAGGATTCTGGGTACTGAGGGCGGCGTGTTGGAGCTGAGGCTCATACATCAGGCAGTCGTAGCTGCTGGTTTCTGACCTCTGGCCGGCGCTGAGGGTTGTTTGGATGGACATGGAGGCGGAGCCGACCTCCCCGTTCGTCCAGGACCGAGACGAACCGCCGCCTTCGTCCGCCACTTCCTGTTTGGTCAGCGGGGGCGGGGCTTCTGTCTCCGGTGCCTGTCCGTCAACGACAAGGCAAAACTCTTCTGCAGAGAAAGAAAAGCAAAATGTCACCTTTTTATAGCCACAGCACGTTGGTTTGTGGAAGTTTTGAGGTTTCTAGTTCAGTATTTGGGATTTTGGTCGTCACCATCTTGTTTTTTTGCAACCGGTGAGCAGGAAGTGACCATATTAGGACTGAGGAGTGACGTATATACGTCTCTGGTCTCCCAATTGACAGTTTAAACATGCAGTTTGTTCGCGTTGCCAAATGGAAGAAATCGAGAAATCACAGATCACCGAGGACAAACGCCCACCGACAGATTCTGTTTTGCTGAGGGCTGTAAAGCTACTGATCATTGCACTTCGTCTTCCTGTGAGATTTGTGTTCTTGTTGTCCAACATGCTAGTGTTTTCCAAGTGAGCTCGGACTTTTATTTTTTTCTTATGGATTTGGGGTTTGATTTGACAATTTTAACAATAACTAACCTGTCAATCACCGTGTAGCCCCGCCCTAAAGCATCCCCTGCTTTATGGTCTGTTTGACTCTAAATGGACCATAATGTACTAAATGAACATCATGCTGTATTGAAGAAGACTTGAAACTAGAGATTGAGACCATAAACTCATGTTTACAATGTTTACTGAGGTAATAAATCAAGAGAGAAGTAGAGTCATTTTCTCATAGACTTCTATACAACCAGAGGAGTCGCCCCCTGGTGGACACTAGAGAGAATGCAGCTTTAACACGTGACGCTTTGACTTCACTTTTCAGAAGTTTCCCTCCTGGGTAAGCATGAATCACGCTTCAGCCGTCTCCATGTTGAGAGCTGTGTGGAGACAATCCCGGCTGTATGGGCATAGCTGCTGAATGAAGCGTTGATTTACTGAAACTGTACTTACTCTCCTGCTCAGGTTGGGACCAGGACTCCTCGTCGTCCTCCACTTTGATCACCGCGGCCGTCACTTTGGTCGACTCAGCTGCAGCGAGCTGCAATCGGAGCAGAGAGAGAGAATAAAGAGCGGGGAGAAGGAGGAGGAGGAGAAACAACGTCTTACATTCCTGCAGCTCTACTCACCGTCCCCGGTGGGGCATCTTGTCCAGAGTCTGAAGACGGGTCTGGGTCTCTGCTCCGGATCTGGGTCTCCTGGTGGGACACTCTGGAGCGCACCGCCTCGCCTGGAGGTGAGTCATGAGGACACTCTTAAAGTTATGGATCCAATACTGAGTATTTGTCTTCTGATGAAGCTCAGCGTTTTATCTTTATGCTTCATTAATTCAAAATTCAAAGGGGCTTTGTTTCCAAAAGCATCAAAATACAACAGTAATATAAATACTAACACAATAGGATTTACATATTATATGTAGATTTGGTGACATGCAAGATAAAAAAAAAGTTACCAAAGCACACAAATCAAAAATACACAATAATATAAATATATAATTAATATTATTGTGTGTATATCTATCTATCTATCTGTGTGTGTGTGTGTGTGTGTGTGTGTATACGTCTGTATTTTTTAATCAAGCTCTTTGAATGACACTTCCTCCATCGCTGCTTATTTACGTTAGTTTTAACGCTTTACCTCCCGGTGTTCCGCTTCTCCTTGGCCCGTTGCCCGGGTGATGAGCAAGCAGCTGAGCGCGAGCTCGGCCGCTCGCGAGCAGCAGCGCGTTTCCGCCTCCGCCGCTTCCGGCAGCGGTGACCGCGGCTCGCGGGGCGTTCGCCCGCGCGGCTCTGAGCTCCGTGAGCCGCAGCTTCCTCCGCAGCACCTCGTTCTCTTTGCGGCTCCGCGAGATCTCGAGCTGCAGCACCGAGTATCCGCTGTCCACGAGCTCGCAGATCTCCGCCACCGCCGTGTTGGCCAGCACCTCCATGATGGAGGCGAGCTGCGCGTGGAAGGTAGCGGCCGGAGACATGTTTGTAATAAATAAAATAAAATAAAATCCACTTGTTGACAAACAAGGACGGTCCTGGTCACCGTGGCTCAAACAACAGAAACGCACGTGCGGCCCGCTCCGTTTGTCTGGTGTCGATCTCTCTCACCTGACGTAAACAGTACCGACACAAACCAGGAAGTGATGCGGGGCACGAACGACGACACGACCCACACTGCGCATGTGCGAAGTGTCATTTTACAAATATTCCAGTATGACAAATAAAGCATGTGAACATTCACCCTCGGGTCTTTTACGTTGTTGACTGATTTATTTAGAATTAACTATTATTGTTATTAACTGTTTCATCTTTTGGTCTCTAAAGAGTTAGTGTTCATTTATATTTGTTTTTCTAACCATCAGTCCAAAACCCACAAGTTTAGCTACCACTGAAAACTACAAATCCTCTCATTAGGAGCTGGGACCAGAGAGTTTTTGCTTCATGATTACTATTCTAAATTATTAGAAAGTCACTTTGCTACTTATTGTAGTTGCTTTACACCCTTTTGTAGTTGTTGTTTCTCTTTGTAGTATTTGTGTCCCTTTACATCCATTTGCATCTCTCTGTAGTCAGTTTGTCTGTTTGTAGTTGTTTTGAGTCTCTTTTGTGGCCATTTTATTTAGTCTTTGATTGATTTTCCAACGACACTTAAGACCCCTCAAACAGAGGCCCCTCTAAACCGTTGGGCCCCTGAGCCAGAGCCCCTTAAGTCTGTTCAGTACTACATCCAAGGCCTGACCTCTGACCTTAATCCAAACAGACCCAGTTGGACGTGTTGTCTGCAGCCAGCCCGTTAAAGTATTTAAACTATGGCAGACCCACCTCATTAGTATGCATGTATGATGATACCTGTTTTAACCGTGTGACCATTTGTTGTTTTTCATCATTTCAAACAATGAGAATCAAACCGAATGATCAGAGAGGAAGCGTAACTTAAAAGATGCACACAGATACATATCTATATCTTTAAACTGATGCTGAGTTAACAGGACACTTCAGTAAACAACCTTTTGATTTCTCTTTTGGTAGAAAATACCATTTAATAGTTACTGCTACAGCTGATCTCTATCCTTTCACCTTTGGGATTAAATAACTATAAATACATGTTTTACAACCAATAACTGATGCCAAACAGTTTCATGATTACTTTTATTAACCAAGAAAGACACGTGACTCATACAGTGTTTGTGCTTTTCACACTGAAGACGTATTAACAGCAGAGACGGAGCGCAATAGAAATGATTTTATTCCAGAATCAGGAAACCTGTTGTTGGATAAATTAGATTCCATTATTTGGTTTTCTAAGAATTTAAATACTTAAAAATGTCCCCATGCCCGAGGTGACGTCCTTAAATGTCTTGTTGTGTTCGATCGACACACCAAACATCAGTTCACAGCAAGTCATCAAATGTCAGAAGCTCAAAGAATCATGTTTGGATTTTTTGCTTGAAAAAACAACTTAAATGTCTGATTAAAGGCTGATGCATATGTAGCATCTCTAGCTCAAAGTAGAACACACTTTAAATACCTCTATAAATATGTTAAAACCTTTTTTTAAAGCGTGATATCTACAGAGCGTTCAGTCACTCAAGATGGTGTCGTGACACTTCTTCATGTGTAGCTTGAGGCTGTATTTGACGATGAAGCTCCTGCAGCACAGCGTGCAGGCGTACGGCCGCTCTCCGGAGTGGACGCTCAGGTGCGACTTCAGGTGAGCCGACTGGGTGAACTTCTTGCCGCACTGGCTGCAGCAGAACGGCCTCTCGCCGGTGTGGATGCGCATGTGCACCTCCAGGTTCTGGCTCGTGGCGTACGTCTTGGAGCACACGGCGCACACGAAGCGCCGCCCTCGGGCGCCCGGCTGCCCGTCGCCGTAGTGGCCAAAGTTCATACCGTCGCCGCCGTCGTCGTACTCTAACGCGGAGCTGCTGCTCTCCGACAGCTGGCAGTCCGTGGAGATCGAGCCCGTGACGCTGACCATCTTGAGCCCGAAGGCGTCGCCGTCCAGGTTCTCGCTTTGGTGAAACTGAGAAAAGGTCACGTGGCCTTTCGACTGTTTGGTCCACGTGAGGCTGAGATCCAGCTCTCTGTTTGCGGGGGACTCGGTCAGAGAGCCGTTACCGAAATACATCTGTCTGTTGGAGCTCGGGGGGACCAGCGAGCAGTCCTGGTGGACCAGCTGGACGTCCGGGTCCACGTGTGAGGAGTAGGAACACACCGACTCGCCGGCCTCCATGTTGTCGTCGTCGTCGTTGCCGCCGAGCTGTACAGAGAAGCCCGGCTCGCTGCGAGGAGAGTCCAGACTGTAGACGGTCACGGTCTTCTTCTCGGCGAGCGGCTCGGAGGACGACTTCCTGTTGCCGTCTTCGCCTCCAGGCCAGCGTCTCTTGGTGCTCCGGCCAACGGGCGTCGACGTGACGATCTCTCTGGCTGCAGCCGCCGGTTTATCTGGAAGAAAAGAAGAAACGCTGAAAAATCTATTTCTACTGCTTTACAAAAAAAGTCCTGTTTCAAATGCAGGACTGTAAAAACAACACTTATAGAAACCAAAATCAAACAATGACACTAACTAATCAACAGAACATCTCTTATGACATCCGACGGGAAGTTATAAATCGTCTTTTTTTTGCTTTTTCCAATAAAAGTCCAGCAACACGTTTCAATTTCCAGGAAACTACTTAGTTCGGTTTAGAAAAAGATCTTTATACTTCCATGTTCATGATTACGTAGATAACAAACAAAATAATTTAGTATTTTTCGTAGGTTTAGCTACGAACGCTGGAGGACAACCTGAAGCAACGCAACGTTGAATATCGATAAACACACAGATATTAAATGACACAAATGTGACGTACTCAGCTGTCATATTTTTGTGTCGTTTAATATCAATCAATCAATCAATCAAACCGTACCGGCAGCGAGTTGATTGAATTGAACGTCATCACAATCATGCCATTCAGGAACATGTCCTCGACCCAACTACGCCACATCCGGTGACCCCACTTTGGGCCCCCGACCCAGAGGTTGAGAAACTCTTGTGTGTCGTTAAACACTCACCTTCTTCAAAGGTGTCGTTACTGTCGGAGTCTTCGTCTTTGATCAACACCACGTCTGGAAGCTGGAAACGATGTAACGAGAGACTTTGAGTAACAATACTCACGTTCAATTAATCATAATCTTCAGTTAATGAACTACAAATGACAAATAACGCGCGGAATATGCATTTTACATCTGTGAAACTGAGATAAAGTCGATAACATGCAAACTCCTCAAGATAACATGTCCCCTGAGTCCTGATTGGCTGAGTCCTCTTTAATAATAATTAATAAATAATAAGACCTCTGAGATGAATTTCCACATCTGTGATTTTGTCTGGAAACTTGAGTTGTTGTTGTTGTTGTTTTTAATCCCTATTATCAAAAAGGGAAAAAAAAAACGACCTTTGGGTTTTTCAAAATAAGATAATTAACATCAGGAATATCCGACTTTCAGCTCAAGATAACAGATAAGGGATCCACATCTGGAGATTATATGGGACTAAATATAACTACAGTATTTAAAGTATATCTTTAAGGCATAATGACACAATATGAAGTGACCCAATTCTACTTTAAAAATAAATCTGAAATATTACCAAGACAGAAGTTAAAGGGTTTGCTGCTCTTTGTCTTAGTGATTGTAAATATTATATTTTGGGTTTCATTTTATATTTGTGATAGGCTTTTTTTTTTTTTTCATTTACCAGTTTATTGTAAAGTTTTAAAATAATAACTTACTCACTAAAAATAATCAAACTTTCACAATTCAATATTTTTGAGAAAGCTTCTCATTATTTTGTGATACCTCGTCATTATTTTGAAAACCTGACCGGGGCTCTTATTTCTATAACGAGTCTTTATGCAGTTTTCATCTTATTGTTTTTCTTTAACTGTCAGAAATTAACTTCCATATTTAGAGCACTTCTGGTTAAAGTAATCTAATAAGAAATGTTAACGGGGGTAAAGATAAGAGGTTTACGTTACCTCCTCCCGCACCACCACAACGTCTCCTCCGGTAGAATCAGCGGTGTCTCCTCCGTCACTGTCCCGGTGCCGCTGCGGTGTTTCCGCCCGCTGTTCACCCTCCGCGACAGGTACGAGCTCCGGTTCCACCGCCGCCTTTACCCCGCCGAGGCTCCCCCGGACCACGATGGACTCGATGAGGTGCAGCTTCTTCCTCAGGTCGTCGTTCTCCTTGTGGCTCCGGCTGATCTCCATCTGCAGCACCGCGTAACCTTCGTCCAGCACCTCGCAGATCTCCGCCACCGCCGCCTTGGTCAGGGCGCCCATGATGATGGAGAGCTGCTCGTGAAGAGCTCTGTTGCTTAGGACGGCCATGACAACCGGGACTGAGGACCGAGGACCCCTCTTAACGGGCAACACGGAGCTCCGAGGAGGCTCTGAAATGACGTCGGTACCGGAGCCGCCGACTATAGACCCGTTAAGATGTTAAAGTTCTGCTCTCGTTACAAAGACGACCAACGTTTTCTTTTCTTTTTTCTCCTACTTCCTTCTCACTCGCACTTCCGGTATAACACTTCCGACTTCAGAATAAGAGCCTGTTGTTGTTGTCGTGACCAACATGAAATATATTTTCTGTAATATAAATGCACAAAAATAAATTATCTTCATGATTAAAGCATGATCTGTTGTATTGGAGCAATTTTCTTATTTTTTTTTTAACTTACCTTATTGCTGTTGTATTCTATTTTGCACTGGTGTTAGTATTATTTCTTTAGACTTAATACTTGTTATTCTATTGTTCATATATGTTTATATTTTTATTCTATTTTTTTTTATATTCTTTTATTGTAATATTTATTGAACTCTGACACAATAATTTCCTTTGGGATCGGGAAAAAAAAACCTACATAACAAATATAATAAAAGTAGAAAAATAATAAATGAATATGTTAAGACAGAATAAAAAAAAGTTTAAGAAATAGATAAAAAAACATTAAAAAATAACATTACTATAAACATTACTATAAATACGTAAAAAGAATAAGTGTTTAAAAATAAATTGATACAAAGAAAATACGACTAAATAAATAAATATAAGAAGGCAAATATACAAAATGACTTTCTTTACCATGTAATGTTTAGACTCTCAGGCTGGCAGTGATAGGATTATATATATATATA